ACCTTCTGTGTATTCTGATAAGGTTTCAAAGGGGAACTTGTGAATCACAGAAGTGGGAAGACGGTCATCATAAAGACCCATGACATGGGATCGTCGGAAACCACGAGGATATTTGAGGGAGCAGTAGTTATTGTACGGAACCCCTACGACACTTTACTTTCTTATGCTAACTTGGTCGCCAAAGGGCATACGGGATGGGCTTCACGGCAGTACTTCAATTCTCAGGGTGAGTATTGTACTATACAAATAATACACATCAGTAAGGGTATTAGCCACGCGAGTATTACGTCTATGGTCTAACACTGCCGAGGGCGTTTGGACTATTTTGAAGGTACCACGTGTGGGTAATTTTACTAATGCCCGAAACAAATGATGTGTATTATTTGTTTTGTAAGATTTTTTTTTTTTTTTTTAATAAAATGATGTTTCAATATGATTTTGATAATGACCGGTCATTACCATTGGATAATGACCGGTCATTATCCAAAATACGCGTTAGGCAAAATTAATGCCTGGTCACGTATACGCTTTCAACCAATCAGGGTTCGCATGTAGAGAGAGTCCATGCAGCTGTGTCATATTAGAGCATTGTAATGGTTGGTTGGTTGGTTGGTTGGTTTTATTTTCCGTATAAAAATTCAAATACATACAAGAATACAATTTACAAATATAATACAAATCAAGAATTTAGAACGGCTGGAAAGCTCTATTCAGAGCCATTATCAAAATGGCTCTGTTCTTCCTAGAGGTCCAGAAATAATCAAACCTAGAAATAAAACACAAAATATTACGAAAAAATATAACATTACAAACGTACTATCTACAACCCCCTCCCAAACCCTCTATAACACATTATGAATACGACTGTTACCATCCCTCCCCCTCCCCGTTTACACCAAAAGTTTATACATCAAAATCTAGTATCCATTCATTTAGGCCATGCCGAAATAGATTGAGTGTGTTCGGTCTACGTAAGTTAATCGGTAATTCATTATATAATTTAGATCCGCGATAAAAGAATGTTCGTTTACAATAATTAGTTTTAGGTTTGGGCAAGACTAAGTTACCGACATTTCTTAGAGCATAATTGGTTTCTTTGTAAAAGAGATTATTCTGCATATAATCTGGAGTTAAATTGTTGAAAATCTTATACAGCCTTATTTACATGTGCTTTTTAAGTCTGGTTTTTAGGGTTTCCCATTTTAAGAGGTCGTGAATCTGATATGTTGAAGGACGATTATGAGGGTTTATCCTACCTGCCCTATTTTGAAGTTTTTGAAGTTGGTCCAGATAGTAAAGTACTACAGAGGGGGATGGAGTGGTCGGACCATATTACTTGGCAGTTGTGCTGGTGATCGAGTATATCATATTCTTTTCCTCCTTCTGTCACCTTCTCTTTCTTCTTTGATTCTTCATCCTGTTCTTTTCATTTATTCATCGACAATAATTGTTGAACAATTTTGAACACGTACCGTGAGTACTCAATGTACATTATTTTCTTGTATTGTATAACATTTACTGCAACCACACTATCTCTCTTTCTTTATTCTCACCCTTCCACCCCACCAACTCTATCTCTCTCTCTCCTTTTTCTCTCCAATCCTTCTAATCGATCTCTCTTTCTCTCTTATCTCTTCACTTCATCTTGCTCTTATCTCTCTATTATATTGTGTGTTTTTTCTATTAAAATGTCGTATCTCATCCCTCTTCCACACTGACTCACTTCCCCTTCTCTCCTCCTCTTTCTTCACATTCCCCCCCCCCCTCTCTCTCTCTCTCTCTCTCTCTCTCTCTCTCTCTATCTATCTCTCTCCCTCCCCCTCTCGCTCTCTCTCTCTCTCTCTCTCTCTCTCTCTCTATCTATCTCTCTCCCTCCCCCTCTCGCTCTCTCTCTCTCTCTATCTATCTCTCCCCCTCTCTCTCTATATATATATATATATATCTCCCCCTCTCTCTCTCTCTCTCTCTCTCTCTCTCTCTCTCTCTCTCTCTCTCTCCTCTCTCCTCTCTCTCTCTCTCTCCCCTGCATCCAACAGAATGGGACACCTTCGTCGAGAGCGCGTCCATAGCGTGGAAAGATCGCATCACAACGTGGGTCACTCGGGACAACGTCATGGCGGTCTTCTACGAGCGCCTGAAATCTGATCTCCGCCGACAGATCACGAACATTCTCGAGTTCCTGGACGTCCCCATCGACGACGCCAGACTAGACTGTACGGTAGCCCACCCTGAGGGCAGCTTCCATCGTCAAAAGGGCGAATCTAATCGGACCTTTGACCCCTACACAGATAAACACAAATCAATAGTTAAAATGCATATCAAAGCAGTTTCGAAAGTACTACGCGAAACTGGGTATATAGATAACGATTTATCATACGTAGGTTTATCAAAATTGATATGAAATTATATGAAGTTATCAACATGTACAAATGCAATCTGCTTTGCCACTTTTATTAACAGGATCATTTTTATACAGTGCGTCCCAGAAAAAACGAAACCGAGAAGTATCGATGTTTTATCATAACTTAATCACAACCATGCTGCATAATTGATGAATGATACATAATTTGGAAAGCTTAGAGTCTCCTCTTTCAGTTGATGCTACTCACGTGATGCATATTTTACGCATGAGTGATTAAAAGCAATTTGAAGGAAGGAAACCGAAAAGAAATTTGGCGGGTGGTATCTGAATTTCAAAGAAAAATTCATATTTCCAGAAAGTTCATTTTCTGCTCTTTCATATGACACCTCAATCAAGAAAAATGAGCCAGGAATAACAAAGTTTTGTTTGTTTAAAGTAGCCCTTACATTTTCATAATTTTAACAAACGAATTCGTTTTCACTGGGTGCCTGCCGTAGCAAAAAGCAGATTTGACAAAAGACTTAACTCCGTTTCGTTGACAATCAGCCGTCGACAAGAGTCTTCATGCAAGGATGATTGTCAACGAAACGGAGTTAAGTCTTTTGTTAATTTCGTTTATTAATACGACAGGCAGCCAGTGAAAACGAATTCGTTTATGGAAATGCAAGCAATACTTTAAACAAACAGAACTTTGTCATTCCTGGCTCATTTTTCCTGATTGAGGTGTCATAAAAATTATGAAAGGGCAGAAACTCAACTTTCTAGAAATGTGAATTTTTCTTCGAAATTCAGATAAGGCCCGCCAAATGTCTTTTTGGTTTCCTTCCTTCAAATTGCTTTTAATCACTCATGCGTAAAATATGCATTATATGAGTAGCATCAACTGAAAGAGGAGACTCTAAGCTTTCCAAATATGTATCATTCATTAATTATAGTTTTGATTAAGTTATGATAGAACATCGATACTTCTCGGTTTCGTTTTTTCTGGGACGCACTGTATAATGAAATGGTATTTAGATTTACACTTCATTATTTAAGAGTTCACGGATAATCTCGGGATTTATTAATTCGATTTCAATGATTCTTTTCTAATTATCTTCTTCAGTTGAACGATAGTTTTATGATGACATTGTTCGATTCTCTCTCCGCTCCAGACAATGGCGCCGCCGCATGCAGGGGGCGTCGGGAGAGGGACAGATCCTATATAATTCTGAAAAATTAGTAGGCGACATACAGGCGGCGATCACTGTGGGCAGTGATGTGATCTATTTGTAATTTTCATATCTGATATTATATTTTGATGACGAATTTGATACGCCGTAACCTTGAGAAAGTGACAATTTTTCTTTCACTCACAAATTCTACACATCGATTTTTTTTTTTTGGGGGGGGGGGTCAGTGTTTTTGGTGTTAGCGGGGTCAATTTAATCAATGGACGAACAGGACATCTGTTTGTTATTAATTCTTTCTATTTTTCTAATGGAGTCTTGTTTGAATTATCTCTTATCCAATTTATTAGTTCATACAAGTGTGTAATTCTAAAATGTGCTTTGACACTGTTGCCCACAATGTTGGAATACTTTATTTTACCTCTTTCCATGAAATTATTGTGACTCTGTGATTATGCTTGATAGATAAAGTATATATTGTAGATACCTCGTATCTATTTCTGTGTCAACTCTTTCTTATGGTAATCGCTTCTTTCGCAAAGCTTCTGCTGAACTTTGGAACGGATTACCTTTGTAAAAAAAACTGTCAAACCGTTAACCTATTCAAAACTAGTCTCAAGACAAATTTATTCAAAATTGCGTTCGATGATTAATTAACTCTGTTCACTTTGACGTGTATTCCACATGTATTGTAATGTGTATGTCTATTTGCATTTTTAGTTTTGTATAAGATGTAATCGTATATCAGTCTATTTTGTGTGTATAGCGCTTAGAGACTTCGGTGGTAAGCGCTTTATACGTAAGTAACGTTTTTATTATCATTATTATTATTTGTTCAGAAGTTTATTGATCAAATTTTATTATCAGTCTTTATTGATCAGAACATTTCTGAGAAGATTATAAACTTTACCTATTAAGAATTTATTGTCGCAATCAAGTAATGAACCGTGAAGTAAGGAAAGTTATTCCAACTTGATTAGAGGTGTCGTGGTCTTTGGCAAGACATTAATCTACGTTTGCCACACTCGACCCAGGTGAGGTAAATGGGTACCTGGCAGGAATCAATTCCTTGAAATGCTAGAGTGCCGTAATGGCAGCCAATCTAAAGCCGGGGTAATATATTTTCCAAATTTGGAAGCGCATAGAGACGTTTAAATTGATATGCGCTTTACAAGAGCCGACTATCATTATTGGCAAACAGTGTGATTTAAAAAAAAAATTGTATCATAATTAGAGTCCAATAATTTTCGAGTTACTTCTTTGATCTTATGTGCCGATAAATATATCGCTGCAATAACAATAGCAAATATTGTAAACAGGGTTTGTACATAATATTTATAGAGTCAATAAAGTATATATGTATTTCAGTACATCGGAGACTGATAAGACATAGCCTATACAATTTTGCGTCGATATGTACTGCTTTTTACGTTGCACATGGACAGGTTTTATCAATCATTTTCTCATTGTAATAAATAAGTTTTTTTTTTGTTTTTTCATAACAATTTGCAACTTTTTACCGCTATAATTATGAAGCACAATGCGTATAATAGGGCGAAAGATGAATTCAACTTGTTAAAAATGCTCATATATTTCGTTTGCAACATCTAACTACCATAAGTAGAATCGATAATATAAATTTGCTTCTGTTGGTCACCATCCACTCATAACAATTCCACTAACAAACAGATGGTACCAAATAGTTTTGATTTTAAAAACAAATTGGATAAATTGCAAAGCATAGAAATGAAACCGAAAAGCATGTCAGCTGCTTTGTTTCTGCAACCTGGTTTAGAGATGGCGCTATTCCTTTCCCTCAATAATGCGTATTGCCTCAGAGCGTATCAGGACAATAACCCCCTGGACAATCACCCCGGAAAATCTAATCCCGGAAAACTACCCCTAAGGTCAATACCCCCCCCCCCCGGAAAATTACCCCAAGGACAACCACCATCCCCTCACCCCCCCCCCCCAAGGACAATTTCCCCCACCCCTGAAGATTACTCCCTAGGATAATTACCCCCTGTTTGTTAAAGGGGAAGGGGGAAGTCTACCCTGATAATAAGTTGTTTTTTTAATAAAAGCATAATTTTTTTCGGAGGTGGGGATTGTCCTCTGGGGGGGGGGGGGATTGTACATGGGGATCATTTTCCAGGGGTAATTGTCCTCGGGGGTGGTTGTTCTTGGGGGTAATTTTCCGGGTGTAATATTTTCCTTGGGTGATTGTCCAGGGGGCATTTGTCCTAGAACCGCTTCAGAGAAGTAAAGACCCGTTTACTAATGCTGTGCATACTTTTGTGAACAAAAGTCGTCAAGTTTCGTTTGACGACTGAAAAGCTTATCAGATGCTTGCCCGACATAGCATCCAATAATGATTGCAAAGCGGATTCCATCCACAGAGATGTCTTTATTCATATTGGGTGAATGATATCGCTGGTAATGTTAGGGAGAGAAAAATACATGAATTGAAATAGTAAACAGGTCTATTTGTAAAAAAATTGGCGAAAGCCATGGAATAAATGAGATCGTATTCGTCAAATGATTTTATCGAAAGTTATCTTATGGACGGACACACAAGACCATGTTTCCTTCACTTTAGACCTAAGGTAAACACATTTCTATCTTGAAGCCTGATGGACACTTTAACAAAAAGAGGAAGAAAGAAAATATTTATTAAAAAAACATAATGCTGAACCTAAATCCGGCAAGGGGATGGGGTCGAGAAACATGGGCATTGTTTATCTACTGGTCTTTAAAGGGAAAAAGATTTGCTGAAAGTCTTCACATTTTGGGTGAGCATTTCAACTCCAAAACTGGCCGATAGCATCCCCTGCTCCCTGCAGCCCCCCCCCCTCCCCCACGGGACCAGTTCCCTGCATATAATGAGAAGAGAGGGAGAGAGAGAGAGAGAGAGAGAGAGAGACAGAGAGAGGGAGAGAGACAGAGTAGAGAGAGAGAGAGAGAGAGAGAGAGAGAGAGAAATTGAGAGAGAGACTGAGGAGGAAGAGGAGGGAGTGGAAAAAGGGGCGAGTTAGACTGAAAAGGGAGTGGGGGAGATAAAGAAGGTAAAATAAAGAGATACAAAGACAAACTGGAAAAAAAAAGAAGTGAGGGAGCCAGGGAGGTAGTTGCCCTTCTGTCTGGTGCCTGAAAGCAAAATCAGTTTGGGTTTATTCAGAGATTCCTTTAAAGAGATAGTCGAGTCCTGTTTTTAAACCGCAAATGCCTTCAAAGTGCATGGTTATTGCTAAATCTATGACGTTTCTAGTGCCCTTTTAGAACCTAAAATTGCTATGAAGGTAATTTTAGACCCCAAAATGTGTGAAATTTAGCTAATACGATCATACCAATTCAGCTCCACTTAAAAAAAAAAAGACATGGTGATCGTTAATTAATTATTTGATTAAAAATAACAATACATGGGCCGGCTGGTTGTGCGTATAAGCAACACGAAAATGCCAACAAAAAAAGCCAACATCGGCATTGACATAAACACGAGGTAAAAGGCTTGATTTCGTTTTTTTTCAACGATTTTTTCAAATTTGTCAAAATATCTAATATTTGTGGTGGTACAAAAGTATTTGAAATCGTTATATGTCAGCCGTCTCTGAACCGATTTTGATCAAACAAAGATGATTTTGTCATTTAAATATTATGTTCTTTCAAATTTAACACTCAGTTTTTCAATATCTCACAAAAAAATTATTTTGTGAAGCGCCCTCTGCAACAGAACTCAACTATCCCTTTAAGTACATTGGACAACCAGCTCAAACACGATCGCAATTGTTTTCGAAAAATCAATTCCAGGCCTATTTCAATACCCTATCGGACATCCCATAGAAATAATGTGCGGATTACACAACACCCTTTTCCCATGTTTGCAACATTTCAATAAGTGATGCACAAGGCTATTAAAATTGCCTAAGGTTGATAGCTTTAAAGGGCAATACAACCCTCGGAATAAGGTCT